TTAATGGCCGGAGGGCTATTATATTACTCTCTTGGTACATTTGCACTAAGGTCAATAAATTGTTATTTTCAATACTAAGTGTCTAAAGTTCATTTTCTAAACTCAGGAGTTAACTATGAGTAGTACACCAAAATACTGCGATTTTCCAAAAATGCTGTATTTGAGCCACATCCACTGAAGGACAAAGAATATCAATAGCAAAAAACATACTGTGTACATTTGTTATATAACTTAAATTAAAAATAGGATCACATTGTAGAAATAAAAAGTGGTATTTTCTAAAGTTCCAATTACCATTAGCTATGGAACAACCCCTTGTTTCTTGCTCCTTAGGAAAGCTATTACTCTTTTTTTGCTGTCAAAACAGCTAGCATAGAGACAAAACTACACACTTAATTGGCAAAATATGTTTCAGCTGGCTTATATTCTATCATTGTTCTAGTAACTGAAGAATAGTAGTATAATAATAATCTAAAAAATAATCTTTATACTTGCTGATTTAATGTGACAGTTGATGATTTGGTGTTGCCTGACTTGAAGATACTTGCCGGTGAAAACAATCAAACTCTTCTTGAAGTGCTCTCGTATTCATGGAAACATCAGATGATTTTTTTCCTTTGATGTTAATAGAATATGAAGCAGGGTTTTATCTAATTAGATTGGCTTGGAATTTTTTTTGCCAGTGAACTTCTATATTTTTATAAATCAGTAAAATAAATTCCCCCTTAATAAAATGAATGATTGAGAAATGAGATGCTAAATCCCATCTGTGTGGATGCTTGAATGAATGAGTGTTTTTTGTGATATCATTTCATGACAGACATGCTGATTGTATTAAACATACAATGCATCACTGTTGAAAATCAACCCCAAAAGGTGACCAAAACCCTCTCCTGATTTATTTTGCTTTACTGAGAGCGTTATTTCTGTATAAGGCCCCGAAGTGTGCCCAGAGAAGGGCAAGGAAGCTGCTGAAGTGTCTGGAGCACAAGTTATATGAGGAAGTAGCTGAGGGAACTGGGATTGTTTAGCCTGGAAGAGAAGAGGCTCAGAGGAGATCTTACCATTCTCTACAACTATCTGAAAGGAAGTTGTGGTGAGATGAGAGTTGGCCTCTTCACCCAGATAACTATTAATAGAAGAGAGGTAATGGCCTCACATTGCACCATGGGAGGTTCAGATTGAATATCAGGAAAAATTTATTCCCAGAATGAGTGGTCAGGTATTGGAACATGCTGCTCAGGGACGTGGTGAAGTCACTGTCCCTGATGGTGATCACAAAAAGGGTAGATGTGGCACTGAGGGTCATGGTGTAGTGGGCACGAAGGTAATGGGTTGACAGTTGGACTAGATCTTAGAAGTCTTTTCCTACCTTTATAATTCTATGAATTAATTTTGGAATGTAATGTAAGGTAGTCTAAAGAATATGTGTGTGCAGCTTTTGGAGAGAGTCCAGAGGAGGGCCATGAAGATGATCTAGCAGCTGGAGCACCTGTCCTATGGAGATAGGCTGAAAGAACTGGAATTGTTCAGCCTGGAGAAAGCTGTGGGGATACCTCGTTGTGGCCTTCCAATATTTAAGGGGAGTTTATAAACATGAGGGAAATTGACTTTTCACATCAGTAGATAGTGATAGGACAAGGAGGAATGGTTTTAAACTAAAAGAAGGGAGATTTAGATTAGATGTCAGCAGAGAGTTGTGAGGTGCTGGAAGAGGCTGAGCAGGGAGGTAGTGGGTGCCCCATCTCTGGAGGTGTTTAAGGCCAGGTTGGACAGGACCTGGGCAATCTAATCTAGTACTTGATTTGGTGGCTAGCAAGCCTGCCTGTGGCAGGGGGGTTGGAACTTGATGATCCTTGAGGTCCCTTCTAACTCAAGCCACTCTATGTTTATGGTGTGCAAAACTGTATATGAAAGTGTGGCTGGAAACTCTGCAGGCTTTAGAGGTTGTTTCCCTTTCCATACAAGCAATTTCCTTCTATTTTCTTTCTTTTTGTGTTCTATTTTCTCTTATTCTTGCTGCATTTTGCAGGCCACTTTTTTTTTGCCAGCGGATTGACTTGGTTTTGTTTGTGGAGTGCTTATTTTTAATGCTAACAGTTCTGAGTAGACTAGTTTTGTGAGATTGTCAGCTTTACAAATAATCCTGCATAAAAACTTGCATTCAGCCCTAATCTCTGAAATGATACAAAAAATTGTCAGTAGAAATGAGTCTTCTTATGGGTTTAACTTAAATCCATTTTATTATGAAACCAATAGTATTTTCCTTCCCCCTTTCTTGTTTCCAGTATGGTTATTAAAAATGCTGCTGTTTTGCTAGCAAACATACAAGTTAAGTGCATGTTATTAATTTTCATGTGCACTTGTAGCTGAGAAATCTGGTCACTATTGATGAAGTTAAAATAAAATAAATAATGGGGATGAAGTCAAAGCAGATCAAATTTGCAAGGTCCAAAAAATGTTTTGGATTCTGAAAGCATGAAATATTCCCACGATGAAATTATTCAGAGGAAGGAAACAGACTCACTTTAGATTGTTTTCCTCGTAGTCTTAGCAGACTATGATGCAGAAGAATCAAATGATAATTCTTTATTCTGCCTGACTATAGTTAGTCCAGACAGGGAATCTTCCACAGCCAAATGGATTACCTCACCTCTGGATTTATGCACTTAGACTTTCTCTCACTGTTTCACAGTGTTGAGCTATCTGTGTAACTGCTATAAGACTTATTGAGAGACTAACAACACTGAATATTGATATTGTTCAGAGTAAGAACTGAGCATCTGGTCTTTCAGAAGGGATCAGACTGTGTCCTATTGTTAGGAATTTCACAAAACAATTTCTTCCTTGAGCGTCAGGTAACTTTCTGCATTAAAAATCCTTGGAGATTTTCAATGAGAATTATGTGCATAGGTCACTTTTTCTGTTTTCTCAAAAATGAGAATGGAAATAACAACAACAAAATATCTGCTTTATGAGAGAAAGAAGATTAATTTAACTGTATGTATATGTTCTTGTTGTTTTTCAAATCTTCTGATTAAAATAATGATACAATATTAGCAGGTTGTCAGAGCTATAATAAATTTCTTGCTGCTACAGTCTGTTATCTTGATAAACTGTTATATGTTATTAGATTTTCATAAGTTATTCTATTTCAAGGCAAGTTTGGATATGGCTGTGGGCAACTGATCTAGCTGAGGATGTCCCTATTCACTGCAGGTGAGTTGGACTAGATGGCCTTCAGAGGTCCCTTCCAACAAAGATTTTATGATTCTAACCTTTTTTAATAAACAGGTGTCTTGTAAATATATCAATTGTTGAATATTTCATGCATTCTAAATGCCAGAGGAAAAAAATTCCACTCAAATTTCAGACATAATGTTATGTTAAGTTTTAAAGTTTTTTAAAATAAGTACATAAACCTGTTAATATTTCAAATACAAAGTCTATGAACACTTTTGCTTTCATAACGGAAACATTTATTTCTTGGAAAAATGTGCATATTTTTAATGCTTTGTGATCGCTGAGTCTTATCCCCACGCCAAATGTAAACATAAGCACACACACAAGAACAGTTTTAAAGAAAAGTCTTTCTCTTGCATTACAGAATCACAGAATTGTGAGAGTTGGAAGGGACCTCTAGGGATCACCTAGCCCAACCCTCTGCTAAAGCTGGTTCTCTATCGTAGATTGCAAAGGAAAGCATCCAGACAGGTCTTGAATATCTCCGGAGAAGGAGATTAAATTAGATTAATTTCAGTGTAGTGGGCTTTAAGTTCTGTTCCTTTAAATTACTTTGTAGAAAGACACATGAGCATTGGGCCATTGAGATTTTTGTTTCTGCTAATATCTAAAGACTTTATATGCAAGGGAAACAGAATAAATTGCTGAAATATATGCAAAAAATGTATGTTAAACTCTAGAAATCACAGTTGATTGGACTGGGACTTGCTTTGATTTTATTAGAAGTGTCTCTCTGGCACTAATTCCCAGAAAATTTTCTGGCGTTAAGGTCAGTGTTCCTATAAAATGCTGATGTTTGACAGGTCTTCTGTTACTCCAGTTGTTAATCCACTCATTAACCCCTGTAGTTTATAGGGTTAAAACCTAGGAACTAGACAACAATTATAAAAATATTATGAAATTTGGTTGGTAATAATAATTCTTATTTGGATTCAAGTAACTCCCAGTACCTTACTTTCGCATTGGTAGACTCTTCAGAATATTTATTTTACAGCTATGAAAAATTGGGCTGAATTGCCAAATTATATTTATATGTACATACAATAAACAAAGCCAAAGCAGCAGCAAAAACATGCAGAACATTGCTTGCTTATTAAGGACGTAGACATCATTGTTTTAGTCAAAAAACACAAAACAGAAATTTATGATCCTTCAACTACACCTGGGATCAAGCTGTTAACTGCTCATTAGGGTTGTAAAGGTACTTAACCTATAGTCCATGCTTAAAAACTTTTTTTTTGAATTGATGCCAGTTGAAATCCAGAACGCTTCCTAATAGACATACTTGTTCTGCTGTTCTGAGAGCTATGGTCCAGGCAGTGTTCAAAATGTTCAGCAGTTGGAAAATGATGAGTGTTTAATGATCTCATAGTAGTTTTCTAAAGTATATTTCTTCTTTGTTTACAGTTTCACGCTTCCCATGGTCTTTTCAGGTGAAGTTGCTATGAACAAATAAAGGGAAAACTGTTTACGCTTGGTGTTTTGAGTAATCCTTTTGTTCTGGGCACAGATGAAGACAGACAAGATGAAAGAGAATTCAGTAACTACTTAATTCTTCCTGGAACTGCAGTACCAGATTCTGGAAAGGCCATAACTTCTTTCTTACATCTGACAACTTCATGGAACAGTTGTGGGAGCCCTGTTGACTTGCTTTTAATGAAGATAGTGGATAAATAATTTATTTATTTATTTTATCATAATTTTCTAGTGAGAATTAATGTCAAATTTTCCTTACTTTCCACATTTTTATGTAGATCTTTTTTTCTCAGATCTGAGCAATTCTGCTGCATCAGATTTCAGGAGAGCTTCACTGGCCTGAAGAAAATGCCACCAGGATTTTTACTTCTAGATTTCTAGAGAACTTGACATTTCTATAGGTAAGTTTTCTTCATACAGATTGATATATGTATTATTTCCAAGAAATTTGCTTGAAAAATTTGTTTTTGTTGAGTGATGTTGACATTCCTTCTTTCAGGTATTTATGTTTTTTTCCATCATGTCATCATACGATATTCTCTTGAAACATCCTATGATACCATACTACAAATTATTTCATCATTTTTGGGAAACGTTCCTGGGAAACCTCTCTTAAAAACATACCAAAGGGAAAAATCCTGAATCTTAAATCATCCTAAATAACTTTCAGCTGCATTATGTATCTGGCATAGATTTCATTGCAAAAACCGACCTGATTTCCATGTATCCTTTTCTTGCAGAGCTAGAATTTACATTTTTTAATGAATTTAAAAAACTGTTAGAAAATGCAATGTGTGCTTTTACAGCTCATTCTTATTATTAAGAGGTAAACTGCTTTACTACTTGTGGATATGAATTCATAGAAGAAACTGATGAGAACAAGAGAACCTGCAGTATGTGATTGAATTTCAAATGAATATTCTGTCTGCAGTTCCTTTTCACTTTATAACAAGTATATTTGAGAACTGCATCTGCTTTAGGGTTTAATTTTTAAACTATTTAAAAATTCTTATTATTTTATTTCTTTATTTTTTTCCCCTCCAAAAAGCCAACCCATTGGAAAATACAATTATTGTGCATAGTATCTGACGTACAAGTTTCTAACAAAAAAAAATCCTCCTTTTTTTTTTTTTTTTTAAACTAAGATGGAAGTTGACAAGATAGTGTTTCATTTATTTCATTATAATATAATATTTCATTAGTTTGTCATAATAAGGACTAACATAAAGCAAAAGAAAATAAATCATTTTATTGTAGTTCCTTGCAAGATCCCTGGAGCTGCTTCATGTGAAATATCACCCAATCTCTCCTGAGACTATTCATGTCAACTGCGGCAGTCTCTCTGATAGGTGTACACATAAACAGGTAAGGAGTAAAGCCGTTCAAAATCTGATTGCTGTAGAACAACCTCTTGTTTTATTAATTCACATGACATATCCTATGATATATATTTCAGCAGGAAAGAGAAAAGATGTGGAATCCCAAATATGGATGAATCTGTTTTTCTTCCGCTGCTGATGGTGGAACTGCAAATACTGAAGGATGTGTTTGTGAAAATGCTACTGCAAGTGTGAGAATCAGAACATTCCTGCCTACCTAGCAGAACTACGTAGGAAACGTTGGTAATTATCAATGTTGAACAAAATTATCTTGTAAAATAAGCATGCATGGACACGTACTTTAAGAATTAAAATCAGAATATTTCATTATAATGTGAAATTGTTTATTTGTCTAGACTCGTGTTTTGAAACTGAGCAAAAAGGCAGTGTAAAAATGAGTACTATTAGTTCATTACAGACAAATTTTCTATTTATACTGAACAGCAAATATTTACTATCGCTAATAAGATGGGAATTGATCTTGACAAATCAAAGAGCTAAAAATGGTTAGAATTTATCTTAATTATAGCAAATAGCTGTGGAGTTGTTTTTGGTTTTGTGGGTTTCCACACTTTTCTACTATTTTAAACTAGTTTTGATGCTAAAATAAATAGTTGTCATAAAAGTCTATTCCAGTATTTTGGTGCAGTTTTCATATAAGGTAAGAGCAGGTCTCTGTAGACCGTCACAAGTGCTGTTTCATTTCATCATGACAATGAAATGCATAGATAGTCTCAACAGAGTTTTTCTGTCAATTTGATGAGATTGTTGTGACATTTGCAAGCCCCTGAAGTGAATAAGGAATTGATATTTATGACAGCTTGGAGTTATTATAGTGGGCTCTTAGTTCTTTCTGATTCACACAATACTTTGGCCACTGTGCACTAGGTATCTAAAACTTCCTTCAAATTATCAGTGGGGCTAGTAAGACAATCTGTACAGGTCTGTGAAACTGATCCTGGTTTTATATTTGTTTCTTTAGTTGGTTGTTATGTAAACATCAAAAAAGGGTTAAAATGAATGTGCTGTTTAGAGGAAGGCTTTTTACTACATTTTGAAATCACCACCCTTCTTAAGGAGAAAACTTTTTTCTTTTGTTTTAATAAATGTGTATATAGAACACTTGAAAACTTAGGTCTAAATCTGGATGAAAATAGTGTTGGTTTGAAATAGTTTATGTGTTTTTTCTGAGGCTTAGCAGCCCTATCTATAGAAGCTGGAAGAGACAGAGCTGATAAGCTGCATTGTTATAGAAACCAGACTCTGTCCCTACGTCATCCACTGACCTGCTCATTGAACTGAAAGCAGTTGTATGACACTGGCTACAGGCAGCATGCTATTTTTACGATCTTTGTAAGCTATGGGAGACCTATCTTTTTGATTTCTGTCTGGAGTTCTTCCAGGCCAGTTTCAAGAGAGAGTTCTTATTAACTCTGAGGGGAGAAGTATTTCATGTTTATGTTTTCATTCAAGAACATTACCTTTAAGAATTACAGAAAATAAGTGAATTATAGTTATTCTTTGGTGGTATTATGGATTATTTCAGTACAATCTGGGCTCACAGACCTATAACAGGATAAAGTCATAATAAAGGATCCATTTCATCTCTTACTTAAATGAGTGGAAACATTTTGTGATTTCATGTGGAGTTTGACTTGCATACTGAAGTCTTACTGATAAATGCTTTGTTGATCAATTGAAATTTAGGAATTGTTATATTTTGTTGCAAAGTCTGGATAATGATACAGTTATAAAAGTTCTCTGTTTAGGTGCGTATACTGAATTTCAGACTGTCAAGTCATCACCATTTTCATTAAGACTAAGAAACATAAATTATATAACAATTAATGTCTTGCTTAACAGCTACAGGGAGTTTATTTTGATTTTTGTTTTTCGTTCTACAGTAGTATTGTTTTGCATTAGAATGCAGTGTTCCTTCCACAGGTATATTTAAGACTTTTCTTGAGTAGAGTCTAAAAACAGGCTCTGCCTAGGATAGTTGTACCTACAGGCACATACATACATTTAAACCCCTGTGATTCTGTGCATTAAATGAGGAGGTTGGTGGCCCTGCATGTGGCAGGGGGGTTGGAGATTCATGATCCTTGAGGTCCCTTCCAACCCTGGCCATTCTGTGAATCTGTGCAACCTGAGTGACAATCACCTATAAATTATCTAATATGATTTTCAAACTAATGTTTGTCTTGATTCAAGTGCCATGGAAAAGAATTGTCCTATGTCATCTGTAAGAATGTGTGAACTACCTTTGATATACTTTCTTAGGAAGTCCCTGCCTGGCAATAAATAGATAAATCTCTGCTTTAATGCTATTTCTCCCCTTGGGTGTCTTTCAAAACCTTTTAACTAGAAGAGATTTTGCTGGAGTAATCCATCAGTGCTAGTAAGACCTTGCTGAAAATGTGGAGGCCAGTAGAACAAGATAACTGGCTCTGAAAGAGGTTAAAAGAATGTTAACCTTGAGGAAAGCCACAACTGTTTTCCATCGGGATGCTTCTCTAGGTTGAACAAGTTTAATTAGGGAAGCTGAGCAAAATTTGGAACTGTTCCGAGTTTCCCAGCAGCTGGGATTCAGTTTGGATCTAGATAAAAGCATGTGTTTTCATTTCAGCAGATGAAAATGGAAGAGAAGAAGGGGCTATGAGGAGAAGGGGAGGAGGGGAGAATCCCCCTTCAGCTATTATCTTCAAAGGAACCAATTATTAATGCTACTACAAAAAATGTTTTATTTCTCTTCAACTGATGTGAATATTAGGAAATTCACTGCCCGATATTTGTTTTCCTGATTTTCTCCAGCTACTAGAACTCTGATTTTTTTTTTTCAGATTTAGAATCAGAAAATGAACTGTAGTAGGATTAAACAATGAATTAATATAGACTTTAAAAAGTAGTAAAAATGATAAAAAATAAATTAATTTGAGACTCAACTGTAATTTCAGGAGAAACAAAGATGAGTTTTCTGAGTGGTTGTGAATACATCAGTTATTGTGTCCCTGGGATTTAGCTATAAAACAGCAAAGGTAGAAATTTGAAATTGATAAATACTATTTTGCATATTCTCATTTATTTTTATTTTTCTATGTAGCATGTCTTTTATTTCCTTCATATGCTAACAATTGTGCTCTGGGTTTTTATGTGCAGCATGGTATGTGCTTCTATTCTTACTACTATTTATTATGTAAAAACAATTTCCAAGTATGTTTTATAATAACACAACTGAACAACAAAAGACACTGATACGTCTTCCAAGGCAGGCAACTTATAACTAAACTTTAATTACCTAAATAATATAGCAAATCTCTGGAATTTGTTGTCTATTTTCTTCTGGAGAGGTACATAACTATTACACCTCACAACTCAGTGCTGGGCTGTAGACACCAGGCCAGGTGGCACATTCAGCTACTTTACTGCAGCAATGTACAAGCAGACTAATTTACAGCTAGGAGCAGAACTGTTATTCCATTCTCTGAAAATTTGAACTGTTCCTAATCTTTTCACAGAAATAAAATGAAGGTAACCACCTGTCCTACTAGTATGGTCACTTGCTTGGCACAGCAGGAATGTCCAATTTATGTCATCCTATTCCTGCATGTATATATCATAATAAGGGATTGGTTCATAAAGCAGGTGGAAAGAGGGAGCAAAGGTTTGCATTTCCTTGATCAGGAAAGTGTATTAATTGCAGGTGAGATGCTTTTTAACCCTTGCCTAGAAAGGATATTGTTTCAGCTGTGAATTCTGGCTGGCTCAAGAGCTGCAGGTGGCACAGGTAGAAGAATAGGCAGTTCATGGCCCTTAGTGCCTTGCAGGGTGGGGGGATAGGTGCTGTTGTTCAAATGGAAATGTTTGTGAGCATTTCTTGACATAGAAAATTGGCCTACAGATTTCCTCTGCAATAACAGAGAGCATTCGGACAAATCTTCTATCATACTCTGGGACATGTTTTTGTAGTAAACCCAGACCAGTGTGTGCTTTGGTGAAGAAAGCTTGCATAAACAGAAGTGGTAACAAAAGATGTTGCTTCAGCCTTGGCTGCATGGAACATTTGGGAAATAGAGGAAAATGATTCGGTAACTAAGCAATCCTTCACTTGGATGAATTACTCCTGCTTCAGCTGATTTTGTGATCTCAGACTCAAAATTATAGCTACTATGGCAAATAATAATATCATAGAATCGCTCTAATCAGAAGGAATCTTTAACTGTCGTCTAGTCCAAATTTCCTGCAAAGAACAGGTACATCTACAGCTCAAACATGTTGTTCAGTACCTGGTCCAGCTTGATCTTGACTGTCTGCAAGGATGGGTTTTATAGTACGTTTCTGGGCAACTTGTTCCAGTACTTGACTACAATTACTGTAATAACCTTTTCCCTTATATTCGGACAAAGTCTCCAGTCTATTGGCTTAAAACCATTTCCCTCATCTTATCACAACAAACCCTGATAAATTGTATGTCCCCTAAGTGTTTTGACCATGCCACACATGTTGGTGTCACCTGCAGACTTGCTGAGAGCTCACTTGATCCCGCTTACAATATAATTGATGAAGATATTAAGGAGAATTGGTGCCAGTGCTGACTCCTGTGGGACACCACCTGTCACTAATCTCCGTCTGGACACTGAGCCATTGACCTCCACTCTCTGAGTATGATCTTGCCACCAGTTCCTTGATCAGTCTATCCATCAAATCTGTATCTTTCTGATTTGGAGAGAAGGATGCTGTAGGAGACCATGGAAAAGGCCTTAATGAAGTCCCAATTGATGACATCACTTGTTCGTTGCTTGTCCACTGATGCAGTTGTGCCATCCTAGACTTTGGTCAGGCAAGACTTGCTCTTGATGAAGCCATGTTGGTTATCCTGTATCACCTCTCCTCTTTCTATGTCTTAGCATAGCTCTTAGGAGGATCTGTTCCATGATCTTCCCTGGCACAGAGGTAAGGTAGTTCCTGGGTTGTCCTTTCTCCCATTCTTAAAAATGGGCATAAGATTGCCTCTTGTCTAGTCACCAGGTACTTCGGTTGACTGCCTTGACTTCCATATCCACTGGAATTGATTTGGGGGAATTTCTGGCAGTGATTGCTTTGTTTCCTGTTAGGATCAAAACAAATCAAAGCAAATGTTAATAATAATTAGTGACTGTTCAGATGAATAAAAACTTTGAGATGTCATGATGTATCATTGCAATTTAATATTTATAAAATGCTGGTTTTACATAGATAATAAACTGTGGTTATTCCCATGAAAAAAAAATATATTTTTTTCAATTTAATGTTTTAATTAATAGACTTGAAATTGCAATTTGTCAAAATGCCAGCAAGTGAAAAATCTTCATTGTCTAACAGGTGGAATTCATCAGAAAAGAAGGAACTTAACTGTTTTTCACTAAAATAAATAAATAACCTGTCAACACTTTAAAAATGGTCAAATATTTTCACAGCCTACTCTGCCTCCTTCCTCTGAATATTTTTTTTTTATGAATCGTCCTTTGTGTTTAAATAATAGGAGACGAATAAAGATGCTGCTTAAAAATGGCAATTTAACTTCATTTTTGATGCTCATTC